GCCCTGATGGAAAATATGTAGAAGAAACCAAACAACAACTGCGTTCCAGAATGAACACACACCAAAAATACATCAAAGACAAAAATATCCAATTATCTGTGGGGGCACACTTCTCACAAGACAATCATTCCCTCTGCAATCTCTCAGTTCTGATCCTCAAAGGGAACTTACAAAACACCTCTCATAGATGAGCCTATGAACTTCACTTCATAAATCTACTGGATACAAAAAATCATGGACTTAATATAAACATTGGATTTATGACACATTATAACCTGCCTGACATCTAATTCACCAGGTAACCTGCCTGAAGCTGACCCTTTACATTACTCCACACATCTCCCTCCCTTTTCCCTCTGCCCACTGTATCTCTACCCATTGTCTTCCAAACTTCCACTCATGTACATTTTCACAGACTTCCTGTTACACTTTAGCTTCTTTTCTACTTTGGAGAACTCATAACAGCTGCAGTCTCCCTATGTCTGACCAAGGGTCTTTTTGCCCAAAAGCTTGCAAAGAACTTTTTTCCAACTATTTTACTTGGTCTAATAAAAGATATCACATCTACCCAAAGAACGTTGCCTGCCTATGTCCTTAGACCAACATGGCTACAACCAATAACACTTGTCCCACTTTAAGTACTTGTGAAGCATCCAAGATAATGCTTTGTCCTAGGACAATTGTGCCTAATTTAAGTTTACTGCCATTCAAGATGTATGTACAAATGACTGCCCTGGGTCTGTTTTGATACATATCAAAGCCTGAGACATTCAAGCCTGAGATAAACCTGACATCCGTTTTTACCCACAGACCTATTCTGTTTCTCTGTAGAATTTCTCTAAGCAGCAGCTGTGGTTTACTACTACTGGGTGAGAGGGCTCCTAGGGTAAGATCTATCAGCGTCAATATAGTTTAAAGCAGGGGCAGGCACTTATTTTGGCTGGAGGCCACTTAATGAGCTTTGGTGAGCTGTAGGGGGCCACAAGGGTAGCCCCAGCACTTGACGGATGCTCCACTCCCTGGGCGCCATCTTGGGATCGGAAGTCCGGCCCCTATCCCCTGATCTTTGCCACTGGATCTCTCTCCCCTTTCCCCCCAGAAATATTCCTTTTTTTCTTTTTTTTGAGGGGGAGGGACAGGGGGTTGCCATCTTGGAACCAGAAAAAAACCCAAATCATATACTGAAAGTAAAACACCTACTATAACATATTTTAATTTTATTACAGAAAATATTTTTGTCATAATTTGTGTTTGTATAGTGTATATAGAGATGATTGTGTAATAACTAAAAGATAAAGTCCTACTCTTTTATATTGTGTGTGGGGAAGTGTGGCTGGGGGTAGGGGGTGTGTATAGTGGGGTGTGTGGTGGGGAGTGTGGTGGGGTTTGTGGGGTGATGTAGCTGTGTGTGTGTGAGGGTATGCTGGGGGGATTTGTGTGTATATGTGGGGGAGTAGTGGGGGCAGTGTGTGAGCTTGTGGGGTGTGAGGAAGGGTGAGGGGGTATGGGGACACCCCCGCACACTCCCCCCCATGGTGCAGAACCCCATGGCTGTGCTGCAGCAGTAGCAGCAGGTGGGAGCCCTCGGGGCACTTCTGCCCGGTGTAGGTCCTGCCACCGGTTGTACGTGACTCTGGCCAGCACTTCACATGGAGGTGAGGAGTGCAGACAGGCTGACCCATCTCTATTGCATGGGGCTCCCCACTATGCATGTGCAGCTCCCACACTTGCATACCACTGGGGGAAACCCCAAATGATGGAGCCAGTTGCCTTCACCTCTCCCTGCTGTGCAGGTCCAACAACTCTGCCAGAAGTGGAGGGGAGCCACAGCCCCCATTTCCCTGCAGAGTCCTGGGACCTGCATGGCTGGGGGCAGGGAAGGCAGCTGGCTCAATTGTGCAGGGCTTCCCCTGGTGGCACGTGAGTGCAGGAGCTGCATGTGCACCGTGGGGAGCCCCACGTGATAAAGGCAGGTTGGCCTGGCTGTGCTTCTAGCCCCCATATGCAGTGCTGGCTGGAGCTGCACACTGCCAGTGACAGCCCCTACATAAGGCATAAGCACCCTGAGGGTCCCTGCCAGCTGCTGCCATGAGGAGGGGGGAGTGCATGGGGGTCCCCATACCCTCCCACCTTCCCTTGCACCCACACCTGCTCCTGCCACCCCACTGGGTGTGGACTCTGCACTGCTGCCAGCACCAGCCCCATGCTCTGTGCTGTTGCCCAGCAGCATCTCCCCTCCCACCTGCCCCTGCTGCCGTTGCTTCCCTACCTGGTGCCTGGAACAAGCAGAACACCGGGAAAGCTGAGCAGGTCCTCTGGTGGCTACAGCAGTGGCAGCAGCAGTACTGCCTGGAAGCTGCATGCTGGCTGGGCCGGGCCCTTCCGTGCACAAGGGTGGGAGCGAGGTACAATAGCATATGTTTGGGGTGGGCATATGTGGGCGCCTTGCTCCCACCCTCATGGGCGGAAGGACTGAGCAGGGTACAATTAGTTGGTGGGCACCTACGGGCTGGATGAAATTGCTTGGTGAGCTGGATCTGGCTCATGGGCTGTATTTTGCCCACCCGTGGTTTCACTTGGCCTGCAGTGCACCCTCACTTCATGTTATATTAATTTTGTCTGTCTCAGCATTCATCACACTGTACTGCAATGTATACAATTCATTTATTATGCGAAGGGCCTATCTACACCATGCCAGTGGATGCAAGGAGTACTACATGCACCTGCTTGCTCTTGCTCTGTGTACCACATCTTGAAAAAAAAGTCATGTAGCTATTATCAGAGCAGTGCTGAGTGTGAGGAAGACTTGAGACTGGCCCGGGGTGCACCCTGAGGGCACATTTGAACATAGCTGTTTAGGACCCCTGTTTAGGTGGCCAAGAGCTACATTTCTCAGTGTCTTATAGCAACACTGCACCAGTTTGTGAAATGAAAACAGGGTCTCCAGCTGAAAGCAGAGAGCTGGAACAATTGTAGGTTCGGGCAGAGTCCAAGTTTGGCTAGAACACCAGAGCCAACGCATACTTCTGTGAGCAGTGCCATGAGCACTGTATGTCTGTACTTCTTTGCATGAGGAAATTTGTCATGTTCTACCTCAGGTCACTTGTGGCTTTTCCTCTCCTTCACATATGGTGTGAAAATTTATAATGACCTGCCAGATAGAAACTGCAGGACCAGAAATCCCAAATTCCTAGCCAAGGAGACTTTCTTGAGCTTTACCAAACTCAGACCTGTGAAAATGATCCTTTGCCTAATGAACTTTTCCCCAAACCTGAGAAAGTCACACTCAGATTCAGCACACTTACGGTGATGTGCCATTCCTTTCCTGATTGTCCAAGTACCAAAAATGCCACTTACACCTAGATAGGAATTCTGTTCCTGGATGCGTACTTCCTTTGTAGATGTGCAGGGGTTTCTGCAGTGCCCTAAAGCATAGTCAACCAAAACCCATGACTAACAGGATTTGGGCTGTAAATAGATGTTGCCCTTGTGCTGCCATAAAGTTTTGCCCTCACGGACACACACCCTGGTGTTGGCACCCAGGGCCAATTGCTCCACAAGATTGGGCCCCTAAAGCCTCAGGGTCCTGGCCCTGCTGGTTGTGCCAGGACACATCCCAGCACAGCTGATCCCACTCCAAAGACAACATCTGTTTATAGCCACAGCTGAAAAAATGGAAGGGATTGGGGAGATAGACTCTTCCCATCTTTTTCCCCCAGTCACTGAGTGGCTAGGGCACTCGTCCTGCAAACCAAAGGACCTGACATCTAGCTCCCCACTCCTCCCCTAGAAGGGGTTTGAACTTTCCCAGAACAGCACTCTAACCACTACATCACAAGCCGGGCAATAACCAGCCCCTGCTCCAGTACTCCTTCTGAAGCTAAGCCACTTCCCTTTAATAGTCATTGGAAACATAAGATGGAGGGCAGGGTAGGGGAATCAAGGGCTCCCTTTTCACTAGCGTTGCTGCTACCTCATTGAGCTACCTTTTCTCCCACTCATGACTGTCCAAAGGGCAAGCTACAAAGGAGTGCAAGAGGATTGACAGTATAATGGTTGACTTGTGGTCAGAATAGTGCACTAAGAAGTTAGAGACCCCAAAGTTAAACTCTTAAGTGATAGGACCTGTGGTGTTTACACATGTATTGTTGGCTGCTGGATGGCATCAAAAGCCTTCCGTTTCTTGCAGAACTGGCATTATTTTGCTGGCAGAAGGAAGGGATCTGCCTGCACAGGAGAGCTGCAAACGTAGACGCACACACTTCTACCCGCAGGATACTGTAGCATAGGTGAGACCTGGCTTAATGCCTCTATATATATTTACTATTGACAACAGTGTAGGCTTCAATCCATCTGTAATATACAGCCTTGCCCTTCCTAACAGCAGCTGCTAATGTGACTTGTATATGATGGTCATTGTGACAGTGATTCTAATACAGGTTAGAGCAGTGACAGTATATGCTGTGCTGTCATAGCAGGACTTCATGTTTTGAATGTGAAATGTTTAGAAACAAATGACAGGTATCTTCCTGGGATGCAAATTATAGCTTTAGGGGTTTCTCTCTCAATACATATTTCCAAAATTTGCAAGCCACATTTGGTTCAGTGTCTTGAACCAATAGTAAATTGTAAGGCTGTCAGACTTATCAGGCTCAAGAACTGATTCAGCATCAGTGTAAGGCAAGAGTAGCATCTGTTGATCATACCACTCCTTACAGCTTTCTGCTGGCATTTTGATGTGACTCTTCCTGACAGCTGATTCTGCTGAAATTTCTTGACTGTGAAAATCAGTCATCCAAAGGAATCACAGGAATTTTATGTTACATGGTGCAATGATGTTCAGGATTAGCCACTTAAAAAATGACCCAGAGCAGCATGATCCACCACCCGGGAACAGCCAAACAGCAAAATTCTTCCTTTCAGCCCCAATATTTATTGACTCCTATACACTGAAATGACCACTGTATTGCAAATTAAATTTTTTATTTTCTTATTCTGCCAACTAAAATGGGCAAACACCTGTCACTTACATCTCGATTGAAATAAAATCACCAGTAGCAGAAAGAAGCATTCTTTTATTCTCTAAACCACACCTATGAACACAGCACAAATTCTAATATCAATACATACAAGCTGTTTCCTGGTGAGCTTCACTGCAAATTTCCATTAGTTCCTTTTAAAAATTACATATTAGGTATTTATATATGCTTGTATTAAGCTTTGCATAATCTACCAGGCAGTAAGTCACTTTAAGAAGCCAGTTAGGAAACAAAGTAAAAAGCCCCCATGAAACTTAAAGTTATACACAGCTCTAATGGGCAAGTTTTAAATTATTTACAGTCTCCCTATACTTTAGGCTCCTGATTCAAAGGATTAGTGCATTTCATGATTTTCTTTCAAACTATTTAATGCAAGAATTAGGCTTCTTTTACAACTCTCTGCTACCTTTCAAAGTAGTTTATAGGAAATGAGCATGCTAACAAGCAATACCTTAAATATAATTAGGGGTGAGAGACATAACCAAAGAGGAACAAATACCTGTCTCATTTGTTGTACTATTTATTTTATGTGCTCCTCAACATATTGTTTAGAAACAGCAGCAATTGAAGAGGGGGAAAATAATTAGCTGCACAAAATAGATCTGGCATCCAGAACGCTTCATCTCACTTAAACATTTCTCAATATTCCAGCTCTTCCGCCCTTCCCCTGCTTCCCTGCCCCTTTTGTTTAAAACATAAGCTGTAGGCAAAAATCAGTTTCGGGAAATTACTGGAGTATGAGGAATTAACAGAATTAAAAAAACAAAACCCCCAACCCTACATTCTATAAAGTGTGCTTTAAGAGCACATGGTGTGTGGTTGTGCAAATGATTCTTGTAGGGTATGAAGCAAGCCTATTCTTGGGGCTCTGGCTATCAGGAAACAGAAAGATTTTGCATATTTGAGAGAAGGCTGAACAAATTCTACTGGTTTTGTGGTTGATGAGTGCATGCAGGTATTGTGGCACCTGAGGGATTCCTGCAAAGTGGAATAGGTAGAATATGTTCATTTCTTTTAAATAGCCTTCAAAAACAGACTGGGAAGGGAAGTCTGGGAGTCAGGTCCCCAAAAACTCTTTAAAATAAGGTAGATTATTTAGTACATTCCAGGTAACAAAAAAAAATTACAGTAAACATTCAATATCTGGAATGCATATATAAATTTACAAGTACCATTACATTACATTTACATAGCTGTTCAGGACAGTCCTTTTTTCCAGAATAAGCATAAAAAAGTTACAAGCCGGTTCACAATAACTTTAGGTACAATGTTATTAAAATACATTGATGTTAATCATAAAAATATTTTACTATTTACAGGTACACTGTAGAAACCTCATCAATAAGAATATACCCATTTTATGAAGCCTTAAACAAATATTTAGGCAGATTGGCCCTTTTCATAGTGCAGTTTTACCTGTTTTGGTCTTCACACCACAAAGCTGTACTGGAATCACAGTACTATACCTAGTGCTTCACTAGAATGCTTACACTTTCCACAACTGCTAGAAAGCATTTCATTAAGAAGAACCACTTTTAATTCCACTGTGTTTTTTGTTAAATCCTGCTCCAAGTAATTCAGGGCACTCTGTCCGTCCTTGTGCGATCTGGTTGCACTTCCAAATCAGGCTATAATTAATTTCATCAGTTATCACACTATCTTGCTTGTAGTCAGGATGATTAGCAACAAACTCCCTCATCCATCGGGCAACTGTCATTAACTCTCCTGAAATAGAAGTCATATTTTAGACATCTGATATTCTTCTTTTAGCATCTACTTAAGTACATTATACTCACAAATATTTCTAGTTCCATATTTACACACACATACAAAGTCTTGTACAGGTGCAGTGGCATGAAAGCTAAGGCCCAGAAGCACAAGTGTGAACCTTGTTTCAGGCTTAGACAAAGGGTGAGTCCCATCAGACCCAACTATAAACAGGCAACTGGTCATTCACATGTGGTTAGTCAAGAGTGGCTGGAGATACTTCTCCTTTTTTGTGCTATGACTACAGAACCTGGCTTGTCTTAACATCAGCCCTGTAGGACACAAACTCCTGTACAACCACTCCTGTAGGATGTTTGACTGGACTCATGCCTTCATTTTGAGGTTTAGTGTTAGACCAGTGATTCTCAACCAGAGTATTGCCAGGTCCTTTGAAAGGTGCTGCTAGTGGATAAAAGCCAACGCAACAAATAAAAAAAAATGCTGAACAAATTATGCTTTGAGATTTACCAAAGGAGCAAGAGCATCTACCAGCAGTATTAAAGTTAATGGTGGAAGAATGTTATAATGCAGTGGTGCTCAACCTTCCCCCCACAGTGGGCCAGGCTGGCATACAGAAAGAATGGATGTTACATGTAGCCCTGATCTGTCACTGAGGGTGGCTGCAGTGGCCATGGGGAGTGGGGTGAGGAACAGCGCGGCCTCAACTGGGTTGCACAGAGGGAAAAGGGTCTGGTCTGACCCCAAAATAGCTGTGTGGAGGGAAGGGGGCATGGCAATTTGGCAACAGGGGAGGGTGACAGTATTGATGGCCACTGCTTCCTCACCACCAAATATCTTGACCCATGGGCCAGATGCTATGGTTGTGCAGGTTGCATTTGGCTCATGGACCAGAGGTTAAGCACCTCTGTTATAAATGCAATTTTTTTACAAAATTATTTCCTTGCTAAAGGCATTTTCAAAAATTGGGGAGGGACTCAATAAGCCTTTTCTTGGTGTGTGAAATCATGGATTCAGAAACTGATTTGGTAACTCATGCATTAAAAGATTCATCTTCTATAAAACTGAAAACCAGTCCCTAACCTTATTACCCAAGATAATATGCAGCCAAACTCGTATACTGTGGTGTTTGCATAAGCAGTTTCCCTGTAGTTAAGGTTTTTTGTTTGTACCCGATTTTGAATGAAGTATATAACCTTCACGTTTGCATTGCGCCTCATATGCACTGTACAAACAATAAGCATGCAACACAATTACACAGCAGATGTTAACATGCTTAAAAGGAATTATATAATGAAGAAGTAAAAATTGGGATTAAAAAACCAGACCAAACCAAAAACAAAACACCCTTCATTACTGCAACGCCCCATAGGACTCCAAACCCAGGTGCTCACTTTCAGCCATATGTTTCAATAGGTGCAAAAAGTAACAGCATCTATATGAGGTAGGTACAGTAATTACAGTCAGAAAGCAGCTGAGAGGCTTGTTTCTCACATGGTGGGGGAAAAGGAAATGTCAAGGTCTAGTTTCTTCTGTACCCAACCAAGTGTTAGTCATACCAGAGGCTCTTTTCTTTATTAACTTCAGGTAGTTCAGAATGGTGCATCTTGTGTCCACATCCACTTCCATGTTTTCAAGGTAAGAGTTCAGAACAGGGATTAAACCAGGAAAGACCCCTTCCTGCATAAAATAACACATGGTCAAAATTAACAAGTTGGGTTACTTTGTGAATAAGGAAAACTAGTTCAGGATTCCAAATTTAAGCTGCCACCACCTTCCCATTGATGATAGTATCTATGCTCATTAAGATGTACTCTTCTGCATCTGTGTCTGTCCCATTCTGAGCTGGGCCACATCCATCCACAACAGCATTTCCACCTAATCAAGGGAAGAAGGGAAAGAAAAACCAATTAGTTGTGTGCATTTCCTGAATTGGTCTTCAAGAAGTCTGAAAGCAGCAAGCTCAGTACCTTTACAAATATCTTTTCTGAAATAAAACATCCCCTGCCGGACAGCATCTCGTTTCTGGGCTACCTTCATATTTTCATCAACCTAGTTATGAGAAAAATCCCAAAAGTTATTTATTCGATTCCACAAAACAGGGACTTTACCTATCAGAGGTCTTTGGACTTTGAAGCTAGGATTTCTAGATACAATTTTGTTAATTCCTCTAAGATGAACTAAGTTCCACTGGAAACAATGGGTTTTATTTCATTTCTCAAAGGTTAAACATGCTTCACAGAATCAAACAGCTTCTCTCTACTGAAGCGTAGCACCATTGTCAATAAATGGGAAAATACTGATATGAATAATTGGTAATTATCTTAGAGTCAACCTGTACATAACTATTAACCATAAGCTTAACCAGAGGAGCAGCTATTCATCATGTCCTATATCCTGTCAAGTAAACGTCCTTATTTACATGTAAATAAATATGGTATTGTTGTAGGGATGCACCAATAGAGATTATTGAGGCCAATACCAACAGCTGATTTTTAAGGAGGCATATTGGCTGATACTGATCCAATTTCTGATACGCAGCTCTTAAGCTTGAAGACCTGTGTCCAGCTGGTAAGTCTGGTGTGGTGGAAGGGGAGGTAGGGATGGAAGGGGTGTAGATCAAGGCCCCTGCGATGAGGGAGGGAGTGAGGCTGGGGAAGATGGTGCCTAGTCAGGGTGGGGAGAGGTGCGGGACAGAGCTGCAAGCGGCTTGTCCAGGGAGCAGGAGGGGGTGTGTGCTCCCCAGATCTGTGCAGTGAGAGGAAGATATATGAAGCTGGTGATATTCAGAGCTGAATATCGCCCCCCCCTCCCCCTCCCCCCCCGGGGTAGCCCTCTTCCAGCCCAGCCCAGCCCCACTAGGAAGAGCTTGGCACAGCCCCGGCCCCAGCCTGCCCCATGCAGATTCAGGGTCACACACACCCCGCGCGCCTGCCCACCCCCACCCCCCCAATGAGTGGCAGGAGCAATGGCTGGAGACACCAGATGAGCAGGCAAGCACTGGATGAGCTGCGCACAGTAGCAGGAACTGACACCTCCCCCCCACAAACCACATCTCTGTCCCATGCCCACTCCACCCTGGCTGGGCTCTCCCTACAACTGCCCCGGCCCCAGCCCCACACCTTCCCTCACCACAGGGGCCTTGATCTTTCCCCCGACACCCCTTCCACGTCCCCTCCCACCACACACGACTTACTAACTGCAAGCAGCTCTCCATGCTGCCGGCTTGACTCCTCAATGCCCAAATGCTGCACTGCGTGCACGCACCAACATTTATTGGACAAATTATTAGCCACATCGGGCTGATTTCCAATACAGAAATTTTTCTTTATATTGGTGCCGAGCCGATATTGGACTGTTGTATTGCTGCACCTCTATGTTGTTGCAATACAAGACATGAAGGACTAGAATTGGAATTTTTTTTTAAAAGTAAAAAGATGCTCCTTTTTTAAACCAGATTTAACCAGAAGGCAGTCAGAGTACTGCTATCACAAATAGTTTTCTTCAAGCTTGCAGGAAACTCAGTGCATCCCAAAATACACTTTCAAAAATAGGGACTTTTACCAATTTAGTGAGGATACAATCATATATTTAATATAATCCCAAGTGACCTGTATGTTTTAGGCAGAAGAAAAATAGAAGTTTAGGTCAAAGATTTTAAAATCTGAGCCTTCAATGAGCTATGTAGCAATGCCAGCAAGCAACTGTAAAAACTGTATTCAAATTATTTAATTAGTAATTTTGTTGGGAGTAAACAGAATATCACTTTCAAACAAATAACATTGTCTTTGGAGAAAGGGAAAGGATTTACTGCATGATGTTTGCTCTTTTATTTTTCAACACCATGCAAAAGTGTTAATGAAGTTACAAAAACACCTGTCTTTAGTCTTACTTAAAAATATCAGAAATATCCATTCTCTTAATCATTTTCTAGTATCCTATAATATAGTTATTTATACTCTTTAGACTATTTTGAACAATTAAAAGCATTCTTAAATTAAACAAGTGTAACTTACGAGGCTGAAGAGGCAGCATTAGTGAGAGAACAGCCCCATAAAACCTTATGGTAAGCGACAAAAGCAGGTTTACTAACAGCCATGTAATTCTCTGATGAAGCCTGCTCGGCAGATATGAGTGACCTAATTTTTGACTGGGTCTAGGTTCACTATGTACTTGACCCAGTTTTAACTGGCTTTCACTAACAAAAGTTATGAGCTAGAATTTAAAGATGCGTCACATAACGAGCATTTTACGTACCTGCTTATTTATGTTCATTCCTACCTGCAGACCACAGATGTGGTACTGGATAATCCTCAGTGAAGACATTTCTGTTGCTTACTTTTAAAATATAAAAACCATCAGACTCCAAAAAGTATTTAGCTTTTTAAAGTTGCTGCTGTTATTATTGTTGTTAGAACTGCTAAAGAATTAACACCAGCAATAGGATTCATAGATTGTAGAGTCAGAAGGGACCCCTAAGGATCATCGCATCTGACCCCCTGCACAGGATACTATCAATGATATTGTGGGCAAGGCTGGTAGCCCTCATATTCAAGTTGTGCAAAGCTTCCCATTATTAGATGCTCTTCTCAACTGTCTGTCAGTGTTTAGACTGAGTTTTCCTTGCCGAGTGCCTGCTTAAGGCTGCTATTTTCAAAATCTTAAGCCAAAATTGTTCATCCATTTCCAAAAGTGAGATTAGGAAAAATACATTTTGCCATGCCAATTTGAATGAAGCAGTCACAGCTGCAGCTGGAGTCAGAGATGTGCTTTAAAAAGTTGCAGTAGAATACTAAGTATTATCTTGTAGGTGGGGGTAACTGAAACAGGTGCCAAACATCTGAAACTGGGGACCCCAAATTAATGGATTCTTCTACCAAAATTTCTGTGGTTCCCAATCCATAAAACAGGTATACCATTACCCCTCAGCTCACAGGGGTGTTAAAAGGCATTCAAGCTATGTGCGTGCTTTTCCAGAGAAGGGTTTGAATACTGTTCAGTAAATAAGGAATGGAGTCATACTGATCAATAATAAAAACAATATTGAATAGCTGCTCATTAAGGGAGCATCATCCATCCTGCATCCTAAAAAAGGCAGGAGTCCTTGGAGCAGGGGAGCAAAGTCAGGTTGCATAAGCAACCACAATTCTGGCATTTCCAAACTTCTGGGTCCCGGAGTCTACAACCACAATAGAGTTTTTTTTTAAAGTAGCTTGTATGTGTGAGGAAACATTTCTACATAGTGCATTTCTACAAGATGATATCTGCAGCATGATTCTGATCTTTCATCAAGACACAGGAGAAGACAAGACAGACCAGAGGTCAGTGGAACTGAGTAAGATGGCAGAAATAATAAATTGTAGGGCTGTGTGAAACAGGTGTGTTTAGATTCAGTTTCGGATTCGGCCGTTTCGGAGGACAGCAACTGGTTTTAGTGTTTCGGATCACTGTCCTGCTTTGTTTTGGCTGAATCTCCTGCAAATCTGTTTCGAATGGGCTGCAAGGGAAATTTTGCACAGCCCTACTCAGCTGGGCAGGCGAGGAGACCCCTGCATGGATCTCTGATCTCTGTCATGCTGGGTCAGCGCAGAGAGGTGAGCAAGTCTGCTGGTTCCTGCTGTGCAACACTGCTCCGCAGGGGGCAGAAATCTGTGCTGGGGTCTTCTCGTCACTGCTGCCCACCCTGTGCTATCCCAGTGATGTGGGGCTGCATGAGGCGGGCAGCAGTGGGGAGGAGACCCTGGCACAGATCTCTGTTCCCTGTGGAGCTAGGACACATGGCAGGGATTCCCCACCCCCAGTTCGATTCCCCTGCTCTCTGATCATTCCCCAGCTCTTCCCAGGGGGTGCAGGCCCCCGGATCTGCGGGCTGGGTTTCAGCAGGCTGCCACTGCAGGCTGGGACCAGTGGCAGCACTGCAGTCTTCCAGGTGCTTGGCGCAGGCTGGCCCCAGCCTGCAGCGGCTGCCTGCTGAAACCCTGCATGCAGATCGGGGGCCTGCGCCCCCTGGGAAGTGCTGAGGGAAGCGATCAGAGCTAAGGAATCAAACCGGGAGCTACATGTCAATATCAGAGCAGTTGTTCCCCCACTCCTCTTAGTTTTTGTTTCCCTGCAAGCCCAGGTCCGAAATGTTTCAGAGCCTTCCTATTCGTTTCAGAGCCTTCCGTTTTGATTTGGATTTGGTGTTTTGGGTGCTGAAACAGCCCAAAATACCTCTGAAATGAAACTGCTACCAAAATTTTGCACAGCCCTAATAAACTGGTCTTACATAACAAATCTTTACAGTCAATAGGGTGCACTGTGTAAACTGTTATGATGGTAGTGAGGCCTCAACGTGCAAGATGTTCTAAATGCACGTTGTGAGAGTCCTTGCTCTGGGACAAGGATTGCAGTATTGTTTACAATCCAAGCAAGGGTGTTAATAATATGCATTTAATTTCTTTATGTAAATAATTAATGGCAAGGTGGCATAAGGATATTTTCTGTGAGAGTCTGCAGTGCTGAAATAAGCCTTGGACTTGTCTACTGGACTTGTGAAACACACTAAGATGTGCAGGTACTTATGTGGGTTGCTGCAGAAGTGAGCCTTTAAGAAAAAGCAGATGTGCACAGGACTAGTGTAGTTTGGCATCCTGTGGAAAAATGTACATCTAATTTATCGTAGGAGATGCCTAACTTGTATGATAGAAAATTAGTTAAACATTCTCCTGATCTGACCCACAGGGCCAGGAGATGTGAAAGGTGTTCAGTGGCAGGGGGCTTGACCTGTGCTATAGCCAGAAGCTTCACCAATGCTGTATCATAAGTCAGGCAGTGGGGAGATGTGGCAGCAGCAGTGGCTGAGTCCTAGCACTAGCCTGTGGGTCCCAGTGCCTGCCTGCTTTGGACCCATGCCAGGTCATTCTGGCCCACTGCTGCAAAAAACACTGCCAACTGCTGATTTAATGTTTAGAAAGACCATCTCAAGTTTCAAAATTCATGCAATGGCTTTCACTCTTACCTTAGATAAAGGGATGAGAAAATCCAGTTTATATGACAGAATCACTCTGGTTAGCAATACTACAAACACAACATATGCAGAATTTTCAAAGTCTGTTAACTGAACCTAGACAACAAAGGATCAGAGTCAGTGGAATGCTGACAAACAGAAAAAATAAAATCACTGAATATCAAGTTGAAACAGCTTGGATCATATTTTCAAAGGACTTGCAAGAACACGTGTGCTCAGCATGCAGAAATGTATATGCAAGGCCCGCATACTCAGACCTTTAACATAAGAAATCAGGTGCATACTTCTTCAAACAAGTTTCTGCTAATTCAGCCCTCTAAATGAAACCAAAAAGTTACATGTTTGAAGGGCCACCTTATCATACAAAGAGCCTTCCAAGAAGGCTCAGGGCAGCTTACGGTAAAAAAAAAAAAAAAAAAAAAAAAAAAGAAAAAAAAAAAAGAGAGAAAAAGGATTATAGAACAGGGGGAGAGGAAGGGAGAAGAGGGGAAACAAATGTCAGATCTATTATACCATTCAGTTAAAAAAAAACCCCAAAACAACACAACATGACAAAGGTGGCAATGCCATAAAGACTTGTTTAGTACAGATAAAACCTCAGAAGAAAGGTGATGGAAACTCAGAGTATGAAAGCTTCATTTAGAGCTGGCTTAAACAAATAGATCCAACTTCTCCCACCCTGTTCCTATTAGTGTCACTGGCTATGTTCCAATAGCGCATCTGATTAAACACTATTGTCTACTTTCTCTCAGAAGACTAGCAATCCCCAGGAGAGAAATTATACCATAAGTACTAAGGTTTTAACACTGAATAGCACAATGTCTAGTACTTTTCCATTTATGATGGAATGTGTCATTGAACATACTTATTTCTTACCTCCATGGGCCTGAATTCTACTCTCCAGCCAATATCATTTATGATGGAATGTGTCATTGAACATACTGATTTCTTCCCTCCATGGTCCTGAATTCTACTCCCCAGCCAATATCTGAATTCGGAGGAGGTGGTTTAAATCTCATTGTCTGCCAATTTGTGGACTGAATATTCTGCAAGGTACAAAATATTATGTTACAGACAATACATTAATTTCTATGAAGCATATGCAAGGGGGAAGAGGGGGAGGGAGGGAGAATATTTGCTGACTCCTCAAAAATAATTATATTCACATTAAAGATGGAATATGAAATAACTTGGCTGGTCCTACTCAAACGCAGAAGAGTAACCACTTACTCATCTAAAAAGGACAGTATGTCACACTCACCAAGATTCCAATTATAGGAATACACATGATGAGGTTTGGTTTTACTCCAGTGTTTTCTCTTATTTTCATTGCAGTTTCTAATGCTGTTTATATTTTAGAAGTCCTAAAATAGAAGCCCTCACTTCTCTTGATTGAAAAACAAAACGTTTTAGAACGTAAAAGAAAAAAGCAGCATGCTTGTAGCTTCAAAGTAAAGTTCTTCACAGTGCACAGCTTTTCAGGGTGTTTTAAACGGGCTATTCCCAGTTTCTGCCTGTACACCTTCCTTTTGTCAATAGTATTAGCTATTACACACCACACAGCACTATGATTAAGCACTAAATATGGGGTAGGCAGTTATGACTATTCAATCATTAAATTACTATTAAAAGATACAACCTCAAAATGGTCAGACTCATTTGCATCATCCAGATGTATTTTCTCTTCAAACAAAGTCAATGGGTCTCGAATAAACAAGTGAGCAATGTGCTGTGCCAAAAGATGATCAATTCCTATAAAATAAAAAGTCTCAAGATCAAATTTACCATCAGAGATATTAAAGTGGAATTTATAAAATAGCCAAGTTACTTAGTAAGCAAGGGTGAAAACATGACTGTTCAAGGCTTCCTCAACCCTACATAACCTACCTGAAGTAAATGATCAGCATTAAAAAAAAGTAACATGATTGCAGAAAGGATGATACTAGTTGCTAATCGGAGGCATTTATTAAGGATGAGCACAGCAGTCATTTTTCCATCTCGGTCCCCTCTGTTGCCTTTGACAAATGTTAGTATGTCACTAAATCAGCTGCTTGACCTGAAGGAACAGGCACTTCTATCACTGCGGACCAAGGGTCTTACTTGTCACTAGACCACCCATTTGCTTTCTCCATAGGAGTCCTATTAAGAGTGCAACAAACTAGAAGTCAAAGAAGCATTACAAGACTAAACAGTCTCATAGTCAGTACACGTACCTTCTTTTACTAGGTGTTCATAGATTTCTTTGTCAATGGTCAAATCAATGTCATTGTATTTTTCACCGCATTCAGAAAGGTAACTGTCTATGGAATCGTATCTGGATTTACTGATTCTATAACGATTGTTCTTCAGTGGCTACAATTAAAAAAATATAATACTTTAGCAGCTAGTAAGCAATAATGCCTTAGTTTGTGAAATTATACTATTGCCCCAAACATGGTTAATGCTTTAACAAAAGCCACACAAGGGCTGGGCTATATTGATCTCCCACCAGCTGGCAGGGTCTCTCTCAGGGCTCTTCTGCCACCTCTTTTCTTGCTGTAGTTGGAGGGGGTAGGGGGGAAGGGAGGGAGGACAAATTTAAGGATGATCCCCCCACCTAATAATTAGATTTTATACATGGACAAATGATAAAAACATTTGTTTTCCATGTATAGAATCTTATTACTGGGGTGCCGGGGGGCAGGGGGGGGCGCATCTAAAACTCAAAGCAGTCTTGGATTTGAGAAAATATGGTACAGCCCATGTAATATAGAATCCAAAGTTTGTTTTCT